TACAATATAACATAATATTAGTTAACCATAGGTATATACGAGTATAGGTACACTACTGCGCAAGTTGTTATAAAAAAATCAAATCTAAATTTGTATTTGTTCATAAACATATTATATTCTGATTTCTGGCTTACCCAGCATTATCTACCAAATTCAAAAGTGCATCGCATGATTATATTTACGARATAATCGCCATCGAGCAAGAACTATATCACACAGTTATCAGGTATGAGTGCTACCGAGTTAAGGCGTCGTGATAATATTGATAACAGTAAGTTGTCGTAGAGGRCTCATGTGCATTTACAGGTCRGCTGGTACAAGTTTGAGGCCTGAGGTCATACAAGCACCMAGACTTAGGAATGTCGACTACAAATCAAATTTTAAAAAACAAATGATTTGTATCAAACAATTTTGTAAAATATCTTTAGACACATTTCGTATCCACAATCACTTTTTTTCTATTCCAGGCCTCATATTTAGCAAATTTGTTTTTGTTCTTGGGGTAAGGRTGTGTTTCGGACCTACAAGTTTGATAAAATTATCGTGACAGGACGGATAAAGCGTCAGACATTGGTGTGAATGGTAGCAGAATTGGAACCATCGTTTCAGTGGCGCCACGCTTTGAGTTGTATAACGATGATAATCGAGAACCTATAGAAGTCGCAAAGGTGGTATAGTGTTGTACATTGCGGGGGGAGGGGATGGGTTGACTGATATGTGGTTGAACTATAATTCACGCGTAATACAGCATAACAGGGTTCTTGACGACGGGCAACTGTTGTGGCCGCTTTTTCGGGGTGGCGAACCGTGGGTTGAACGGCCCCAGGGCTGCTTCGTTGGTAGACGACGGTTGGCGGCTGCGCTGGTGGTTATTGGGCTGTCGGTGAAACAGCAACCGGTTGAGCCGAGTAGGCGTATGGTTTTGTGACTGCCTACAGCCGGCGCCACCACCACAATCGACAGCACCGCCGTCACCACAACTGCCGTCGCCCCGGCCGCATCCGAACGCCATCACGGCACCGCCGATGACGCAACCCAACGCTCCGCATCCGAACCCTACATCGTCGTCATCGTCATTGTCGCCAAACTGATCGTCCGAGGACCAGCACCATGGACAGGCGCGTAAAGTGTGTCGGTTCAGCCACCAGTAAACCACTGGGTTGACGGCAGAGTGTGCGTGGCCCAGTAGCATAGCGGCCACGGTGGCCAGCTGGTGGACTGTGTGTCTTCTGCCGCCGCCGTCGTCTTCGTTATCGTTTTTGTCACCGTCACCGTCTTGTGTCGGTGTAAAAAACCAGTTGGTGTAGAGTAACGCAGCGGCGTATGGTAACCAACARGCAACGAACACGCCAGCCAGTGCTACCAACACTTTGGCCAATCGTCTGCGGCTACGYGCACTCGGCGTGGGACGTTGCTTCTGCTGCTGTTGCTGTTGTGCTTGTATCTGCTGCTGCTGTTCTTGTTGAGTTGGCTGATGGGACGAATGTGGCTGTTGCTGTTGTATCACTACATCATTTACCACCTGTAAACAAGCGTTTGAATTTAATGGCTGCAGAGACACAGAATGATATAGGCTAAAACTAAATAGATCATCGTTCAATATTGTATTTCAMTTTCCATTTTCATATATATATATCTGGATGAAGAACTAAAAAATAAATCGTTTATAGTATACATTACATATACTTGGATATATGATTAGATATAAAAACACGGAATGTTTAATTT